CGTTGTAGGGTGCTAATACTTTCGCTACACGTAATTGACTCCCGAACCCAACTTTAATTTTAAAGATTAGCTTTTAAAGGGTTTTTCAATGTTTTTCCCTTAAAATAAAATATTGGTGGCGGCTCCATTAAAAAAAAGGGTTACCGTCATCCCGTCGTGATCCCGGTTACGACAGGTGGCGACTCCACTGGAGATGCTTGAGAGTCAGGCCTTATTAAATTAATTGCGCAAAATTATGACTTTATAAATATTAAAAAAAATTTCTCCTTTCCTTTTATTTTATTTTTGTTTTATTCATTTGTTTTTTTATTTTTGTGCTATGCATGTTTTGTTTAGATTTAAGTTTAAATTAGAGTTTTATTTATTTTATTTGCATGACTGTTTATTACCCCACACACCCACTAACACTTGTACCTCACACACTTTGGGCTTTATACCCGAGCTTGTGCGAACCTAAGAAGAGAAGGTGGCTTGATGACTGTTATTGAGGGGCTCGATGCTCACTTGACCGTTGTTGAGTCACTACTTAGGTTGTTACTAGTAGCATGGTTTAATCATAGTGAGATGGTATGTTCCCTTCTTGTGATTGATTCATGCGCTAGGTCCTTATTTATATGATAAGGGCAACCTGGGGACCAATAAATCTTGAAGAGTTTTTAGATCCACCCACAAAACCATGCACTAATAGGTGGACTTAATGACCTTCCAAAGTAGGGTGTTAACCTTAGAAATTTCCTACCATAGGTTTACCGTAATAGGTCACACTGTACTACTCTCTATCCCTCTTCTTATATATACTAAGAAAGTGAACCTTTAAATTTAGATTCCTTCTCTGGAGTCAGGTAATCCCAAGTCTTCTCCAATGCTTTACTAATCTTCAAATTGGTTTCACCATCCAAATTAGCAGTCTACCACCCAAAAATCTGAATTAATAAACCGCAGTAACTACTAAAGAATGTCAAGACCACTCATTTTTTCAAATTGAAATGAATGAATGAACCCTTATCACAAATGATCTAAATTACCTTATTTAGATTATTTAATAAGAAATAAATAAAGAGGGGCAACTGTGAATAATCAATTTTATCCAGACTCACAAAAATAATGAAATGGACATCTACTATGAAGAGGAGGAGCTCTCAAAGTATGGACGTGACAACAAGGAAGTTTGAAGCAAAAAAAAAATCAGTAGCCCAGAACGGCCCGTTCCAAATTCGGAACAGGCCGTTCCTAGTTAAAAAAAAGCACAACAACCCTAATTGAGAACGGGCCATTCCAAAATGGGAACGGGCCGTTCCGAGTCAGTTAAAAGGCCTAAATTTCCTTATCTGGAACGAGCCGTTCTGAATTTCAGAACGGGTCGTTGCGCGTTTAGAATGAGCCATTTTGAATTTAGAACGGGCCGTTCCAGTTTCACATTTAGCTCGTAACGGAATGATCCAGAACGGGCCGTTCCGGTTTTGGAACGGGCCGTTCTAGTCAGGTTTGACGTCTATAAATAGACATCTCGGGCACTGTTTTCAGGGCTAGAAAATTTCGTCTGAGACTCCTTAGAGCTCAAAATTTCTCTTTTTCTCTCCTCTATATTTCTTGAGATTTTGTGAGGAATATTGTAGTGTGTTAGGTTGCCAAAAAGCGCCTAATAGATCGTTATATTCGAAGATTCAACAAGTTCAAGCATCTCATTTGGTATCATTTCTTTTCGTTTTATTATTTATTTATTTATTCTTTTATTCTTTTATTTATTATTATTTTTTATTTATTTTTATTATTTAATAATTACATGTACATAGTGAATATGATTTGTTGTCTTTAAAATAATTGTTTAAATTGTTATTCAGTCAATGTTATTGATTTTTATTTGTTGATACTAAATTATGCTTAAAGCTTAGGACAATGAATAATTATTCTATTAACTTTTATGATTTACATGATATTAAAGGGTAGAAGTGCTACTCAATTAATCAAGGAAGTTTGAAGCAAAAAAAAAATCAGTAGCCCAGAACGGCCCGTTCCAAATTCGGAACAGGCCGTTCCTAGTTAAAAAAAAGCACAACAACCCTAATTGAGAACGGGCCATTCCAAAATGGGAACGGGCCGTTCCGAGTCAGTTAAAAGGCCTAAATTTCCTTATCTGGAACGAGCCGTTCTGAATTTCAGAACGGGTCGTTGCGCGTTTAGAATGAGCCATTTTGAATTTAGAACGGGCCGTTCCAGTTTCACATTTAGCTCGTAACGGAATGATCCAGAACGGGCCGTTCCGGTTTTGGAACGGGCCGTTCTAGTCAGGTTTGACGTCTATAAATAGACATCTCGGGCACTGTTTTCAGGGCTAGAAAATTTCGTCTGAGACTCCTTAGAGCTCAAAATTTCTCTTTTTCTCTCCTCTATATTTCTTGAGATTTTGTGAGGAATATTGTAGTGTGTTAGGTTGCCAAAAAGCGCCTAATAGATCGTTATATTCGAAGATTCAACAAGTTCAAGCATCTCATTTGGTA